GTTTTTTTAAAACAAGTGTGCAAACAGATGGTGAGCATTATAAAGATGATGTCAAAGGAAAAATTCTAGGGCTTTGTTAAAAAGACATACACAGTAAGATTAACGTTAAACATTTCATCAACATAAAACACCCGGTTTAAATTATGTTAAAAGTTTTACCAGATCAGAAGGTTGTTTAAAACCAAAGTCAATAAAACTGTTTATCAATCAGAGTTAACCTAACCTCAAAGAGGGAATTACCGTTACTTAGACTGTCAGAGCAGTCAAACCTAAGACCCTTTATGGGTCTTCTTCAGTTAGCAATCCTTCTCAACACAAAAAGGGTTTAAATCCAAGGTCAAGCCTGGAGGACAGCAGAACCCATGCGCTGCTGCCTCCCAGACTGTACTGCTTCTTCTTTGAGAGAGAACAATAGCTTGGATGCCTACAAGGCGTATTGCTGCCACCTCCACAAACAATAGAGTTGCACACTCGCTAAATTCGGTAATCTCTCTCTCCCCCCCCCACCCCCCCCCCCCCAGCATGCAAGAAGTCCAGCAGCAACTATCCTTGCCGTCTGTCCCACGTCTCCAATCTGGTCTGGAACCCGTGTTCAATCCAGCCAGCGCCCTCAACGCTGCCGCAGAGTCAAAGCAGATGACTGCCCACACCAGCCCACTATCCTCCAACCAACGTAAAGTGCACATAATAGCCACCAACTCCATTGTGAACACAGAACTATCAAGTTGGTGACCAAACACAAAATCCAGGCTAGGTACCACAAACCCCACCGTTGCCCTGCCACTTTCAGGATCCCTGGAGCCACCTATATACAGCGGCAAATAAGTGGTCCATCCAGTCCCCAAATAGGCTAGAACTTCCTTTGCCAGCCCACTCTCCTCGCCTCAACCCAAAAACGACAGGTCCACCTCTGGGTCTGGCAACAGCCACGGTGGAACATCCAACCAGATCAAGTGAGAGACCACTGGCCAGTCCAGGAGACCCAACCTCCCCGCATGGCACCTAAGCTTTTCTAAAAGTCTCCTTGTCCCTTCTTGCCACCAAACTCCCTGCTTCAGCAAACCTGACACCACTGTGTCAGCCCCCATGCCTTCCACCTTCCACTTTGTTTTAGACTTTGACAACTTAAAGCCCCAACTCAGCTTACGAAACACATAAGGCAAGTTCCGCCCCCTTCCTCAAAGAGCCCCATTGCTGGCAGACAAGGACCTACCCATATCTCCACCCAAAGTGCTGAACAACCCGTTAATCAAAACATTAATTCAAGATTTCAATTCAATTCAATTTTTCTTATAAAGCGCCAAATCACGACAAGAGTCGTCTCAAGGCACTTCATATAGTAAACATTCCGATACAGGTCAGTTCATTAAGCCTTTGTCTTCCTCCGCTTAGCTGGGTCCGGGTCGCGGGGGCAGCATCCCAACTAGAGAGCTCCAGACCGTCCTCTCCCCGGCCACCTCCACCAGCTCCTCCGGCAGGACCCCAAGGCGTTCCCGGACCAGATTGGAGATGCAACCTCGCCAACGTGTCCTGGGTCGACACGGGGGCCTCCTGCAGGCAGGACATGTCCGAAACACCTCCCCAGGGAGGCGTCCAGGAGGCATCCTGACCAGATGCCAAAACCACCTCAACTGACTCCTTTCGATCCGGAGGAGCAGCGGTTCTACTCAGAGTCCCTCCCGAATGTCCGAGCTCCTCACCCTATCTCTAAGGCTGAGCCCGGCCACCCTACGGAGGAAACTCATTTCGGCCGCTTGTATCTGTGATCTTGTTCTTTCGGTCATTACCCAAAGCTCATGACCATAGGTGAGGATTGGGACGTAGATCGACCGGTATATCGAGAGCCTGGCTTTCTGGCTCAGCTCCCTCTTCACCACGACAGATCGGCTCAGCGTCCGCATCACTGCAGATGCCGAACCAATCCGCCTGTCGATCTCCCTCCTACCCGCACTCGTGAACAAGACCCCGAGATACTTACTCCTCCACTTGAGGTAGGACCTCTCACCCGACCCGGAGTTGGCAAGCCACCCTTTTCTGGTCGAGAACCATGGTCTCAGATTTGGAGGTGCTGGTCCTCATCCCAGCCGCTTCACACTCTGCCGCGAACCTACCCAGCAGGAGCTGAAGGTCAGAGCTGGATGAAGCTAGGAGGACCACATCATTCGCAAAAAGCAGAGACGAGATTCTCCTGCCACCAAACTCGACACACTGCACACCATGGCTGCGCCTAGAAATTCTGTCCATAAAGGTAATGAACAGAACCGGTGACAAAGGGCAGCCCTGGCGGAGTCCAACCCTCACCGGGAACAGGTCCGACTTACTACTGGCTATGGGGACCAAACTCGCTCCTCTGGTAAAGGGACTGAATGGCCCTTAACAGAAAGCCACCCACCCCATACTCCTGGAGTGTCCCCCACAGGGTGCCCCTGGATTCATTAAGCCAATCAGAAAAAAGTTTCTATTATACACGTTTCCTGCACAATACACACCCTCGCCACATGTCCAAACTGCTGGCAATGAAAGCATCGTAGGGGTGCTCTTTCAAAAGCCCTAACCTGGTAACTCAAATAACCCAACAAAACATGAGCAGGACACTCGGTCCTCGCCAAACGTCAGCAGCAAGGGGGCCAACTCACATTCCTTAAAACCCAAATGTCTCTCGGCTATCACCTTGCCTCCTTTCAAATACCGCAAAAAGTCTTCCACCGCTATATCATTCTGGATATCATACACAACCACCATATCCGCAGACCTATCCTGCAGCACATACACTTTGATCTCAACCCCCAGAAACTGCTTAAGCTTCAGCGCCTTGGCCAGTTGAGCCTCTGAACAGCACACCACTGGCAATGTCCTCCCAGACAACACATTCGCATCCACAACCTCACCTACCTTCTCCTTCAGCTCCCAGGAAAACTTAAGCAAGCTCGAGGCAACAACCCCCCTGCCCGACACTGCACGAATATGGACAGCCAGGTCCACTGCACCAGTTCCATTCATCCACCTCTGCTTTGTCATACCCTCCATGCCCAGACCTTCCGGCGACGAGTCGCTCCGAACTCGGCGATCCCTCTTAGACGTACTCCCTCCCTCCACCGCCGGTGCCGCTGACCCTGTTCCCGCTACAAACTTCCTCCCCATACCCTCCGAAATGAGGGTATGGGGTGGAAACCACCATTGTACCAGGCCCATACAGGCCATCAGCAGATATCCCAAACTCCCTTCCAGGCCAATCCAGACCAAGCAAAAACTCTTGTTCACACCCAAACACAACCAACCAATCAGCACAGCCAAAAGCCCAATCAAACAAGGCCCAACAATCCCAAAGCTACTGCCCTCTGTTGTGGAAAAAAATGTTCTGCGTGAAGGGGTGTTATCACAAGAAAAATGATGTAATCTCTGGTCTTCTGTAGCTCCTCAAAATAAATTTTCCACTTTCCGGTTTGTTTGTTTCTGATCGGACAAGAAGTAAGCCACCAAGTTACCTTATATTTCATCACACTTTATTTACCCATTTGCAGTTGGGAATATTCTGCCATCTCCCAGTCTCTGTGGCAAATCAGAAGATTTTACAAGATGCACACCTTCACATGTCAAGAAACTCTTCAACCCTAAGCTGAAACTTTTAGCACTATCAGCATGCATAAATCTGATATAGGTTTAACTCAGTGCTAGGCTGTACCGGTCACTGGTGAATCATACAGAATCAAAGAACAATTGAAATGAATATGAGGATTAACATACAGATGATTACTTAAAAAAATGAATAAATGATTATTACAGATGTGATCAAACATTATTTTTCCTTACACCTCCCAGACTGCTGGATGGCACAGCCTTGTTATCTTAAGCCGGGCGAACACTGCAACTTTTTCACTCGTAGCACTCAGCTTCAGCTCCAACTGTACGACTTCCTCGCAGGGCAGATCTCACAAGTCATGCGCTCACACTGCACGACCCAGTTCTCGGGTGCGACCTGACTGCTCACACTGTACGTTTGGTAGCAACACGTCGGCCCTAAAAATATGCTAAAAATAGCAGTTTTTACTCAACACGTCAGACTTATTTTTCTTGTTTTGCCTGTTGTCCTTCGGGAGTGCTGCAGGAGGACACACAGGGATTTATGGGGGTTGGATGAGTAAACCGAAATAAAGAAAGTAAATCTGTGTTTTGTGATCAGTTTAATTTGACATGAACACGACAAACATGCTTTCTTGACAATCTTTGTGAGTAAAAAAAAAACGTGTAGAAACAAAAACGAACAGCGTGTGTTATTAGGGAAATAGCGAGCGAGCGGCGTTGATGCAGGATTGCGCATGCGCCGTGAGCGGTTCTGATACATTTTGGGTTGCAGCTGCTTGCAGCGTCGCTTCAACAGTACGATACCCTCACGAGGGACGAGCGAAATATTAAACACGCCAGAAGTCCGTGCGACCTCACGACTGCTGATCGGCAGCTGGTCACGTGGTGTTAATCGCCTCTCGTAACCCCCTGTACACTACACGACCGCTCGGCGCAAAACTCGCCCCGATGTCGTGGATTCTCGCACGACTGGAAAATCGGCTCAAAAAAGTGAAAAAGTCGCACAGTGTACGCCCGGCTTAAGGTGTTGCTCATTTGTGGGTTTCAGCTCAGCTCATCAGCAGCCTGGAGAGGAGGAGGAACAGAATCAGGAATCAGTTGGAACTACAAATTGACTGTTTTTACTATTAATGACAAGAGACAAACTGTGCAATTAAGGTTAGATGAAGTTCAGGAAGTTCCTCGTTTTTTTTTTTTTGGCTTTAGTTTTTTTTCCTCTTTAGTCTAATGTAGACCAACTAGTATGTCTTTGACTCGGTCAGGCAGAGCTGGAAGTGAGGCAATAGTTAGCCCTGCCAAACATGCCTAAATATGTAGATTTGTGGATCTCTGCAGAAGACCCCGTGGGGAAACATGTCCTCACATCTCTGTTCTTCTGTCTCGAACTGTGAGACTAATTCTGACATCTCTCGGTTTAGGTGCCTTTGCCAAGGTGAAGGAGAGCCAGCGGATGAGCGATGAAGGAAAGATGGACCAGGCCGAGGCAGACTGCATCAGGAAACGCTGCCGGACAGTGGGGTTCGCCCTCCAAGCCGAAATGAGCCACTTCCATCAGCGAAGAGAGGTGGACTTCAAAGACATGATGCAGGCCTACCTCAGGGAGCAGATAGACTTCTACCAGCGGATTGTCCAGCAACTGGAGCGCACTCTGCGCATGTACGACTGTCTTTAGAGACTCCACACCGTCCTCAATGTCAACATCTCAAAAAGAGACAAGATCAATGGTTTACAGTGGTTTCCTTCATTTGATGCAATCAGAGCAATCTTCTCTGCTTTGTTTTCTGAGTTACACGTCACATAACTGCAGGTGTATGAGGTTCCTAATGGTTTTATGATTGAAGGCATTGTTGTGGAACATTCCCTCATGCACTTTGATTTCTTGATCTAAATTATAGAATAGGTCTAAAAGCCTGAAAATACACCACAATACAGTAATAATTATTATTTTATTGTTCTGATCAAATGGAATTGGAGCGTTACCGAGGACGCCCAGCTCAGGAGTATCTATATGTATCAACCAATCAGAAAGGCCTCTGCAACTGGTCTAGAGAAGATACCACTCTAAGGGCTTTGGGACCAGTTTGCACATGTTTTCTAATGTGGGTGGGTGGGTGGGTTTATGTTCTGTAGGTGGAGGTGGATCATGGGTCTAAGGAACATGTAAAAGTGTTTTTCCAGGGGCATTACTCAGCCTTAAACAGCTCTGTACAGCGCTGGTGAGTCAGCCACTGGGGGGGGGGGGGATTTTTTTTACTTATGATAAAATAACATGAGGTGATCAGTAAACAGTGTCATGTAATTTGTATGTTCCATAGAAACAACTGGTGGTGTTGCTGGACATTGTGCTCAGTTTTATGGCTTTTTGTCAGAATCTGAACCAGGAAATGGCTGCAGGCAATGAAACAGAAGGCAAGAAAATCCGGAGCAACCAGTGACTCCGCCCCCTAGCCAGTCAGTGACCAGAATCACGATGTCGGCCAGACTCGGCCTTGCCAGGTACATTAACGGAGCAGGGACTAAAAACGGGAGAAAGTAGAGGGAACATACCGAACCCTGCCCTTGGGAACAGTGGTCAGGCCGAGATGACGTGAGTAGTGCTCCTGGGAAAAACACCTTAAAGGGTCCGGCTAGCCAGTTCAAGGCGTCTGATGTTTCTGTGGTGGAAGAAAGAAATGATGTGGAACAGCTCCTTTCCTGTTGTTTTTCATCAGATCAGATAATAATGACCACGCCGCTGAGCTGCGACTGCTGGAGACAACAAATGATAGAGTTCCTGTATGGCCTCGGACACATGTTGATGTCAGTTTTAATAAAGTTTTCTCTAAATATCCCTAAAGGTAGAGTCAGCAGACACACATCTGCAGATTCAGCACCTCATACAGAAAAGGCCAGAAGTAGAAACCTAAAAATCATGAGAAGAAAAGAGTTGGACCAGCTGATCTGTGATTCAGAACTAGCTGTTCTGAAAAGTCAGAGCCGGAACTCGTAAAACGACCAATCAGTGCTTTAGGGTTACGGGAGTGATGCTAATCTGAGATGAGGCTTCAGCCATCAACTGGTTGTGTAACAAACCATTTCAGCCTCCATTCCGTCTGCCCCAGACTTGTAGTTACATGAAAGGCTTCGGCAACCATAAGGAATGTTTTTGTTATCCCGAAATATGACTCCTACAGCTGGAAATTTCAGATTCCCTCACCAGCACAGAGCTTTGACTGAAAGCCTAGAACATATTCCTTTTAATTCCCTGTTTTTTCAGTCAGTTTAGGTCTAATTGGTGGGTGGGGGGTTCCCTTGGGACAGGGTAACTGTTAGGGTTAGGGTAGTTTGTTCCCAGAGAAACTATTCCAGTCTCCAAAGACTCGGATGCTTGATCAGACATTTCCGACACGGATGTGTGGCTCGAGCTGCAGGAGCTTCCATCCTTTAGCTACAGACACAGTTGGTGGTTTCCAGCTTATCAGATGATTTAAAGAAATAAAATCATTCATCTTAATAAAATGTAACAAACACGTTTCTGGCTGTGTGATATTTGCTGCTCAGAGGTTATTGGAGGTGTTGAACACTGAAAACATATTTATTATTTATTTAATGAATGCAACTCACAAGTCATTTGTTCCTAACATAGACCACAACAAATATATTGATTAAGCAAGTGTTCAACACCTTAAAACGACCATCCATCATGTGCCATCAGAGTTGTGTTAAAATAGGGATTTATAAATCAAATCTGTTTGCAATTAAAGTAAAGATAAGGTTGTCCTAAATGTGTCTAAAACCAAGATGTTTGTAGAACTGTCTACCACAGGTGTGTTCAAAGAATCAGAATCAACTTTGTTGTCATGGCCTCAGCGTCCTGAAGCATAAAAATGTGTCCCTGCAGTGCAGCCTGACACAAAACATGTAGAACCAAACAGATGCAGGCAGACCAGGAGAGCGGCCATCAAGACACTCATTTTCAGTTAGAAAAGGGTTACATGAGGGTAAGAGGACCGCTCAAACATAAAAGCACGGACATCTAACCGTTCGTGACACGAGACTCCAGTGAGTAGGCGGGAGGGGGCTGGGACCCTGTTGTAACGATTTGTAGGTGGTTATTTTCAATAAAATGTCAACAGAATATAAATGTATGCAATAAAATGTTATATTCCATGAAAATGTGGATTATCAATATTATTGAGCCTTTAATATTCATTCCACTGATTATGAAATAGGTACTTTGGCTAATCCAGGGAAGCAACACTTGATAGTTTGACACAGAGACAAAAATAAAGTTTATAAAAATCACTTTATTACTATATGAATGATAATGAAAGTGAAATGATTATGAATGGTGATTCACAGTGATATCACAGTATTCTAAGTGACTCAGAAAGGTGTGACGTCTGGCTTTATAAAGTAAATTTGGCTGTTTGTTGGATGTAATTTAACAAGTTATCAAATTTATATCAACCACTCTGATGCCATTGTTTAGTTGTTAAGTTTCAAACAGGCTGTCAATGATTACTTGGTCAAGTACGTAGGATGCCAGGGGAATCTTGTATTGACGCACAAAGGTCAGCGGCGCATGTGGTGTGTAGGAATCCTCACTTCATAGATTGTAGTCAACCTGCAGCCTAGAGAGTCAACTGAAAGAGAGTCTTTGCATTTTAGAAGGAGCTGATATAGTTTGTCCCGCTCGACCTCATTCATGAGAGCATCTGCCTGCCCCACGACCTGTTCAATGTGTGAGGATGTCCGAGGGTGATTCTGAAGGATGCTGAAGTGATTCTGGAAGTTCTCAGCTCAGCGGAGAGCCTGTAGGTTCCTCATGCTCAGGGCTACCTACTGCAAGGCAATGAAGTGAACAAGGGGCACGAATGACAAGGTAGTGTCTCCTGGAACACAATCATGAACATTCAACACACAAGGAATGAGTTCTGGAAGTCGACCTCCCCCACCGGAGAGTAGGGCAAAGGCGGTCAAAAAGAGGACGAGACATGAAAGTGAAGTCTGAACCGGTGTCCAGAAGAGCATCACAGGGGAGCATGTGTCTGAGGTTTGCAGGCTCATAAGACTTCCCAGCCCCCCCTTGTAACTTGAGTTGACCCAAAAGCATTGGCTGGCAGGTCATCAGGGGACTATGGACCATCCTCTTTAACGGTTGAATCGGCCACTGGTTCATCAGAAGTTCTTCAGAAGCAATGCAGCATTCTGCATCCTGGAAATCCAAGGAGCATGAGTTGTGGTTGTAGGTTGGGCTCAAGGTCTGAGATGGATCAGCTGAGGTGAGTGGCATAACATGCACTGGAAAGGAAGAGGATATAGGGCCAGTAGTGATATTGGCCTTTAATTGGTAAACTGACATTTCTCTCAGTTTTTATAGGTGGTATAACTTTTGCTAATTTCATTTGTGAGGGAAACACACCAGTTCGAAAGGATAGATTACAGATATATACAAAAGGAGACTCCACAGATTTACTACAATGGCTGACGGAGCGGGAGAGCAGTACATTTTCAAATGTAAGTTTTTTTTAAACAAAATAGCGGTAAAACAATTTAAGTACGTGTTTGGGCTTTTTTCGTTTGTTTTTTATATAAGGTGTAATATTAAAAAATATGGTTTTTTTCATGCAATTTAAGGCTAAAAAACACCCACCGTAAACTAGCTTGAATGTTTAATATGAAAATAATGGAAAAACCCCACCGTAAATTAGCTTGAATCTTATTTCATCATGTGACTGAATGCCAAATAATAATCAAAGCTAAGTTTATATAGATTAAATTTTAAGAAAAACATATAACTGTCAAAGAGCATGAATGTTTTTAATTTTATTTTAGGCGGTAAAAAAATAACAGCCACCATTTGACTGGGTGGTATTTTATTGTGGCTGGGTGGAATGTGGTAACAAGCAAGTACCACAGGGGGGGCAGTTGTGTCATCCGTCTCACTTTTGATTTGCCAGTGACAGACCGTGATTTGGCAGGTGCGGAGACGAAGAGGAGGCGAAAATTTGATATCAAGTTCAAAGAGAACGTGCTGATTATGTTGCAGAACACTGGGGAGCAACAGGGGTTGTGTGAACTAGTCGACTTCACTATAGTGGCTTTTTATGCCTGTCATCGACTAGTCGCTGTCACGTGATAATGACCAGCAAGATGCAGCCCTCGGAAAAGACAGCAGCCTGCTGTCAGCAGGTGACAAGCTCCTGCGCGTCGGGGGGGGGATGCGCTGTGCCAGAGCGTCGGTACTGACACCCGCCGTAAAACGTACATTTAACCAAATTGTGACCTTTTCCCTCTTGCAATTTAACCTTCCCTTCACCCCCCATCCTAACCTTAACCAGCTTGCACATGCAAAGCTCTGATTGTTGACGCGCTCCAGCCATCTGCGTCCTGAGCATGGCCACAGTAACATTATCAAATTAGGTGTCACCACCTCAAAAACTAATTTAACACGCGATCGTTCATGTCGGCTCATTTCCTTTAATGTTTTCTGTCTGTTATTTGCGCCTGATGCGTTTCGCTGGTATGGAGCGGGGCGCATCACCTTGTCCTCCGGTGACGCACCGATCACTGATGTGGCCGCCAAGCAGCGAGCACTCCGCTGTTTTTGTGGTCGGTAGATCTTTTAGAACTGCAGTTCAAAGGTAACTCATAAGGTGAATATATATGAACCCAGGTAGCAGTTTTTCTTTAGGACTGAGAGGAGATGCAGGAAGATAATAAACAGATACAGGACAGAAAAATAGTCAAATAAAAACAAGTTAGTTTTTGTACCTGGTGGCGAACCATTAGTTCATTTTGCTCAAATAGAAATTGAGGCCTGCCTCTAATTCTGGTCCTCCTTCCAATAAAGGCCTGGAGCTTGATGAGCTTGAGTCAAATACAGGCCCGGGTCTGTATTAGAGGATTTACGGTAAGTGATGCTTAGGCTGGTGGGGGGAGGAAAACTGGCAAGATTGTCAACACTCGTTTATCTTAATGCTATTGAAGCATGTAAACCAAAAAGCATTATATCCACTGCTACCTTTCTAATTTTAAACTCAGTAACTTATGTTGTAACTTCACCCTGCCCTGCCTGCTCCTCCTTGCTGCCTGCCGGCTGTGATCACAAGCGACAACATAGTAGTTCCCGCTGCTTCTTCGGGAAACAGCTAAAAACAAAATAAAACTTGGGATCTTGTAGGCGTGGCGGTGGGATTTCAGCCGTGGCGGCCCGCCACGGCTACGCCTAGGGAAACCCTGGTTCTGATGTTTCATAATAATTTATAATAATTATATGATGATCTCTAATAATTTCCTGATTAGTTATGTTGGTTTATTTTCTAAGCAGAGGGACTTTCTAATCATCATTTTCTGAATTTTGCAGAAAATCACATTGTTTGTTCTTTTTTCAAATTATTTCAACAGATTATTGTCGCAGTAAAAATCTGTATAATATGTAAAGGTCAGAGGTCACTAAAATACCCACTGTTAAACAGTTACAAATCTGAAGCCCATGAGGACGTTGTCCTACGTTGTTCAAAAATGTCCTGCGTGAGACACTCCTACATCTGCCAGTTTGGCAGGGGCAACTCAAACTTTTCACTAACACTGTGATACCCACACTAAAAATGCTTTGCCAAAGTAATGCTGTGTCCTCTTCTCTGCAGCAGTTTCAATCTCAAAGAGGAAATGTAAGGAAGAGGTGGAGGAGGTGTGTGTGTATGTGTGCGTGCGTGTGTGTATTCTGAGTTTTTCCACAGACAAAGCTGGAGCCTGAATGAGCAAGATGTCTCCTTAAGGAGAAAATCACAGTTACTGAAACTGATCCAGCGTGGCATAAAATGCTGCATCATTAGGAACAAGAAAATATGTTTCTTTTATTCAGACATTGCAAATAACCCAAATCACTGGTGTGGTTGAACTGGGTGTTATGTGTTCTTGCCTTCAAGCCCCTGTCTGAGTTTGAGAGGGAAAGGCTTTTCTGTCTGCAGTGTGGCTGAAGGGCCACATGGTTAAAACATCATGGCTGAATCTGCCAGCATATGTCTGTAAAAAAATACATGGTTGAAAATTCAGAGTCTGCATGTAGAACAGCAAGAGCTCCTCCTGCCATCTTCACAGCATTCCTGATTTGGTTCTAATGCGAAAATCAGCCTAGCTCAACATGCTGTCAGGTCCCTGGAGCAGCTCTGCTGTCAGACAGTAGCTACATGTCACATACTGTCATGAGCCGGGGTGAGTACTCGTCTCATCATCTCACGATCTCTGAGTGTTTTGGTTTCAGAAGAGGGAGCAACAGCTGTTTCCAATCAGCTGATCAGCGGACCGGTTTATGAGGAGGAAGGTGGACATGACTCAACGCCGGATGATTAACTACTGACTGGTAGTCTCTAGCCCTTGCTTATCTCTCTCCTGTTCTCTCGTGTTTTTCTCTCGTGACTTAGATTAATTCTATTTTTGGATTTTACCCCACCTCAGTTCTGCATAATCACCAGAGTTTTCCCCGATTTGGATTTTTATCTGGTTCGTTTCCTGGTTCACCCTC